AGTGACTAAGTAGTTGAGAGAACAAGAAATAGAATATTCAAAATTTGCTTTTATCGCAAATAAGTAACGTTTTCGGCTATAAGAAAAAATACATATTTTCTTTATTGGTCATCAAAATATGCCCAAATAGGAGAAGCCTAGTTTTCCTTGAAAGTAATACTTGCCTTGTGAGTGTGTTGCGAAGTAAAAATCTGTCGCCACCTTACGTGCACGATCCTCTTTAGAACTCTGTTGACGAGTTTGACGAGACCCAGGCGAGTTCAGGGCTGTAGTCCATCCTGTATGAAGAAACCTTTGGCAAGACAGGACGATGTGAAATCGAATGACATAAAGTGGACAATGCATATCATTTTACCTTTACTCAAGTTCTTCTTTAGGTAGTACCAAAGAACGAGCCTCCATCTGGCCGTAACACAAAGTTGGAATTGTGAATAGGCTATAAGATTCTAACCAAGCTAACCTCTTCCCTTAATCTACATTTCGTCTTGGCCCATAATTGGATTTGAGATTATCCAGATGTGTTAGGGGAGGCTGTATGTGCTAATTTACTGATACTACATTTTCTTTTTTGTATTCTTTCCTCCATCAGATCCCGCTTTTTGGTGCCACATTTTCATTCAAGTAAGCATGACACCCAGTACGAACTCAGTATCTCATCTCAGCCAAGTTTAGTGTATCAATCTTAGATAGTCTCATATCGATACGAATAGCACTCACATGTTCAAATCTACGAATAGGAATATACAGCAGATATATTATTTACTCAGACCGTTAGTGTCGTTGGCATGGTCGCTCCATTTTTACTTTCAGCTATCGCCTTGCAGCTTATATCTTTGTGCTCTCAATACAGACCTGCTGTCGTAGCAGCGCCTCATGATCAGATTCAGTTCATGTGATCACTGTTCCGGTATTATTACATCCAATAGCATAAAAAGGATGAACTTCATTCTTCAAATTAAGTATTGTTCTCGTGACTACCAGTAAATCAGTAATATGAAATGTATTCATTTAATTTCGTTTAAGGTGATGAAGGACTGGTAGAAGAAGAATTTTCCCACAATAATATGAGTTGAGCTGACGCTTCCATTGAATTTTCACATAGCCTTGCTTTCCCAAAAGTTGTTCTCATCCAGACAGAAGTGGACTGCAGTTTCGACCTCGCATCGGTCTTATCAACACCCTCAGCGGGAGTCGAATCGCGACAGTGCAGGATGAGAGCTTGACACGCTAACCACTCAGCTTCAGTCGCCATCGTCTGTTTTAAACCCAAAAACTTGTTTCCGGTTCTGCGAAAAATTATTTTCTATACCTTCACAATATTGTAGGGGTGCATTCTAAGTTTTGCTTACAGCTTATGGTCTAGGAGCCAACCTTTTAAAGATAAAATGCGAAAAAAGCGAATGAAGCTTCAATGAATAAGAGCATTATGGAGGTGGAACTAGGCCTTCAGTGATTATCGTTTTCAGTATGAGTATATTTCGAAACAAGCACCACTTCTTGAATAAAAACTTAGTTGGTATCTGATTCACAACAGAAGCGCGTATTTATTTTTTCTTTGCCAGATTAAATGAGCACAAGAGGGCAAAACCGGTAGATTTCAATGTTTTTTAAATTTTAATAACAGAGTGGTATCAACATCAATAGCGCTGTAGGTGGCCACTTGCCGCAACCGCCAGGGATACAAGTCTAGGAACTCAAGGACGGATTCTACTGGCAGAAATAGACCTCGTCTTTATTTTTCGTGGCTAAAGCTTCTTGTTATTGCCACCCGTTAAGCCTAAGTTGGGTCCTGGGTCATCGTGATCAAATAAAATTGTTGTGAGGGTTATTATTTCATATAAGAAGGGCATGATGACGACCGGGAAGTGGACAGATGCTTCTGGTTGTCCTGCAGCTGTTAGGCTTTACTACAACGTTCAGGTTGATGCACTCCTCTGTGCATCCTCCTTCGGTTCGGGTAATAGCGGGTTGAGCTTACGTGTGTCATTCCACCGGAAGACATGGCCAAAGGGCTGGAACTCAATCCTGCAAAGGATTCAAGTTAACGCCAAGTCAAGAAGACAATCCGGCGCTATCCCACGTGCTATGTTTGCTCATAAATAAAAACGAAAATATGTGGATAGAGATAGAAAGATAAAGCATGATTTGGTCAATTATGTACCATATTAATCAGGTATGCCTTTGTGAATGGGCGTTTGTTAGCATCTGTATGTGTGTGCGAGAAAAACGAGTGTTAGCTGACATACTAAGGTGATATCGGCCTAATGAGCTCATCAGCATACACTTTAAGGCGACGATGCTATCTCAAGAGAATGATCTAAACCCAGCTACTCTTTGTATGTAAACTTAAAATTGTCTTGGTTTCTTGAATTTTATGTTTCCTAGTAAATGTGACCGTGTGCTTGATGTCGACACAAGAGGCCTTAGAACCATCTCACTACAGATTGTTTTGAATTATGTCTGTAATTTTGGGCCAGATTAAGAAAGCACACTCTTTGTTACATACCTTTTCCAATATTTCCCAATCATCTCATATGACTTTACCCATTTCTTCCTTAAACGGTTACTAGGATTTTTCTCTATTGATCGGTCGTGAGGCCGTAATGCTGTTCAAGCAGTACGCACCGTTAGCTCGTCGCTACGAAGAGCTTTGCCAATTGGAGGTCACTCCGAGCAATCAACGAGAATCGGCTCTACCTCGACCGGTATTCGGAACCTCATCTCTGATCACATCAAGTACACCTTCCAGCTGGTCGGCTGTGATTCAGCAACAGGCGCATTCTACTCCACAAGGATCTTTGCCGGAAATTACATCTAACAACCACTTAAATCTACGCGCCTCCACAATTGTTAGGCGACAGACCATTGAAGAATTCACGAAGCGAGAAAATGAAGACATTCCACTGTAAGCACTTATGCTTGTTGCTCTTTAACCGAAGCAAATGCTTAGGCTTTACCTAGAAATGATGAGATATCAAGCGAGTATGACAAATGCTCTTTATTCCATTGTTGAAAAATTACACTTGACACTAAGAAGAGGCTGAAAGAAGGGGATTCACGACATTTGTGCCGATAAATCAGCGCCAAACTGTTCAGACGAGCTAAGCAGTCTATTTAAGCATGCTATAATCTCGTTTGCGCAACTTGATAACTTGTTTAAGGCACCAAGAACAATGAACGTTGTCTGGTGTCAAATGCTACAGTAAAAGTGATAATTTCCAGCTTCGTACCGTTGACTTGGTAGAGTCCCAGACGTTCTGCCGGGGGCATAGTTAGTGTCATCAGTGAGCCTTGACGACATTTACACGATGCTTAAAGGTGTCAAAGAGACAGGTTCTTCAATGTCCAGCTTACAACACAACCAAGGTGTGTAAACGACGTCATAGTATAACAATACCGCGAAACGTGACTGCGACTAAAATAAAGGCTACATGATCTTGGTAATAATACATAAAATCCATTTAAAAAGTGATGC